TACGTAATTATACGCAAATTTCAAAAACTACATCTCACGATTTTATCTCCACAAACTTTATTTGAAAAATATATCACATGTTTCGCTAACACAGTAGCTTTATCAAGTGATTTGAATATTCAAATCGGGATAGTTTTTGAAATTACTATGGATCTTCATCAAGTAACGGTCGAATCGATCAGAAAAAAAATTGAACGCAAATGATAAATCCTGAAGCAGGTCAATGTTTATGTAAGAAAATACACTTTCTCAATGAAATGATTCAACTGAACATCAATAAAGCATTATTTGATTGAAAGAGAAATGAAAATTTCTATGTTTTTACCACTTTTATTTGTAACTAACGAAACTGCGTAACGTTAGTTACAAATAAAAGTGGTAAAAAATATAGAAATTTTCATTTCTCTTTTCATTATGATCTCCTACCACGTAGTAACGGCTACATCCATCAATTCATTATTTGATTGTTGGACTTGGATATTCAAAAAAAACAGTAATTTTATTTCATACTTGTCACGATTGACTAGACTATTAGTTACCGATGTTCTTTTTTGACAAGATAACTAATATGTAAGTCAATAGTGACAGATTTTTGACAGGTATTTATGAAAAGAAAATAACTTTCTCTCGAGTATTCAAGTCCAAAAATCAAAAAGTGCTATATTGTCGAATTGAACACCCATTTAAACGCGGTATCACTCGCTACCCCTTTTCATTGAATCTTTTTCAGGGGCAACTATCACCCCTAGGGAATTGACTGGAGACACTTGAATAATTCCATTAAGGAAGTGTATTTTCATATACAGTGCATTTTGTCCAAAACGAGCCACCCCGAATAACTTTTGGTACAATGATTTTCAGGAAAAATAAAAAAACACGTCAACAATAGTATAAAGGAGGACACATTTTGACATATTGACATTTGATGTTACTTTCCCTTTCGCACCCCCAGAGCATGTCACCATTTTCTTTTAAATGGATAACCCTATATTATTTTCAACAAAGTATAAAACATATGGTCTGAAGCTTATGGTTCGGGAGCTATAAATTATTTGAGTTGAAAACGAGCCACCCTGAAAAACTTTTGAAACAATGATTTGCAGGAAAAATAAAAAACAGATCAACAATTATACAGGAAATCTAAAGAAATGAACTTTAAACGTTCAAGCCAGTCTCGAATATACCTACACAGTAGGTTGAAAACAACTACTCCCTTGGCTATAACCACGAAGGGCCGTTGAATTATGAGCCCACTTTATTTACAAGCCCACTTGATGTTGTATTGATGAGTCCAAACATGCTCTGCTATTCCGGATTTGCTGGTTTCTTCTCGCTGTGTGTTTCTTGTGGTCAGCAATGCGAACTTTCACACAAGCACAAGAAACACACACAGCGAGGGGAAACCAGCAAATCCGGAATAGCAGAGCATGTTTGGACCCAT